ACCGCATTTATCGGTTTATCCTATTTTCCTTCCTCATTTTTCAGTTGAGAGAAAGTACAATGGAATACGAGGTTGCACCAATTAAATGTGCAATATGAGGCATGTTTATTCACAAACGTACTGTGTATTGTGTAAAGTATTGTGCGTGTCTGTGTTTCTGTATCTGAGAAGAAAGGCAGAGAAAAATCACATATGATTAGCTATCTCTTAGACCAGGGATGGGGAACTATGGCTGCTTTATGACTTGTGAACTTCAACCAGGGATGGGCTTCAAAAATTTTAGCAAGGGGTTCTCTGCCCGGTTGTTGGGTGGGTGTGGCCATGGTGGGCGTGGCCTAGTTGGCCTCCTGCACCATGGGATGGGGGCGTTTTTGCCCTCCCTGGGCTCCGGAGGCTTTCCTTGAGTCTCTGGGAGGGTGAAAATGGCCTCCCCAGGCTCCAGAGGTCCTCTGGAGACCTTCCCATACTTGTGGCAGGCCCGTTTTTCACTCTCCCTGAGACTCCAACACACCCTGCACTTACCTGCATCCAAAACGGGCCCTTTGGGGACTCCTGGGAGGAGTGGAGAGGGGTAGACAGGGCCAGCCAGGAGTGGGATTTGGGGTTCTCTGAACTGCACAGAATTTTAGCTAGAGGTTCTCCCGAACCCTGGCGAACCCCCAGCAGCCCACCCCTGACTTCGACTCTCAGAATTCCTCAGGAATTCTGGGAATTAAAGTCCACAAGTCATAAAGGGGCCATAGTTCCCCACCTCTGTCTTAGACAAAGGGGCACAAATAAATCCTTAATTCTCTATCTGTTCCCTACTCTCTCCTCGTGGTCATGAGGTTTCAGCGCCCTTGAAATTGGATCTCAATCAGAAATAACATCCAAGTAAATGGATATAGGATTGCTGCTTTAAGCTCAAGGAAAGAATGTTCGCATGACATTCATTCAACCAATGCATTTCGCTTCAGAAAAGTAAAGTAGTCATGACCTCCAATAAAGTCTGAGGGATGTCAAGATTTGAAGATGGTAGCATGTCCAGCGCATTTAAAATAATTATCTTTGCTTTAACATTTCAGAATTTTTGATAATTTGCATCTGTGCCAAGCTTCGCTCAAACTCTTCTTTGTCCCTTAGGTTGAGCTTGCCTGCATTCACTCATGTCATAGGCTTGGTAAATAGATGTACACAAACTACAACAGAGTATTAGTACATTCAAATATCAGTGAATATTTATATAGTGATATATGTATAATGAATATTCCTGGCAAATATATGGGGAAGAAATGAAGGTAGTGACAGATTTTATTTTCCTGGGTTCCAAGATCACTGCAGATGGGGACTGCAGCCAAGAAATTAAGACACTTGCTACTGGAGAGGAAAGCCATGACAAATCTAGACAGCATTCTAAAAAGCAGAGACATCACCCTGCCAACAAAAGTGTGTATAGTCAAGGCTATGGTTTTCCCAGTTGCAATGTATGGCTATGAAAGTTGGGCCATAAGAAAGGCTGAGCGCCAAAAAATTGAGGCCTTTGAACTATGGTGCTGGAGAGGAGTCTTGCGAGTCCTTTGGGCTGCAAGGTGATCAAACCGATCAGTCCTAGAGGAGATCAACCTTGACTGCTCTTTAGATGGCCAGATCCTGAAGATGAAATTCAAATACTTTGGCCACCTAATGAGAAGGAAGGTCTCACTGGAGAAGAGCCTAATGTTGGGAAAGATTGAGGGCAAAAGAAGAATGGGACGACAGAGAATGAGGTGGCTGGATGGAGTCACTGAAGCAGTCGGCGTGAGCTTAAATGGACTCCGGGGGAAGTAGAAGACAGGAAGGCCTGGAGGAATTTTGTCCATGGAATCGCGATGGGTAAGACACGACTTTGCAACCACAACAATATATAGTGAATATGTCAGGTCTCAATATTGCCACCTGGAATTCCTTGATCAATTGAGTTTTCAGCATGTCCCTTCTGCCAGCATGGGTAGGGTAGGCCAATCCCAAAAGGATGAGATCGTTCCTCAGATAATCAGGCTCCATGAAATAAGTCTTTAAAGCTGATAATCCAACACCTTGAATTGGATCTGGAAGCAAACTGGCAACCAATGCAGTTCTCGCAACTCAGGTATGATATTGTCCAAGAATTGTCCACACAGCTGCATTTTATGCCAGCTGTAGCTTCTGAATACTGTTCAAGGATAGCCCCATTTATAGCTCATTGCAGTAGTCCAGGTGCAAGATGACCAGGGCCTGAGTGACTAAACACAGGGACTCATAATCCAGGCATTTCTGGATGATGGGAGGTACTGTTTTTTTGGAAGCTGGGTGTGTCAAGAGAGATCCTGCATTATATGGGGTCTGATAGCATTTGTCATTCTTAAACTTAGATATTTTGTACAATATGTTCATAAAAGAAGTGTACAAAAAAACAGGTATATCAATGTTTAGATGAATACAGACATCCCTACCAAGGAGGACATTTTTTGAACTTACAGGATTTTAATTTTTAAATCTGCAGGATTTATTTATTTGTTAAATTAAAAAAAAGTTATCTCATTGTCCTTTCCTTTCCTTTCCTTTCCTTTCCTTTCCTTTCCTTTCCTTTCTTTTCCATTTGTCTCTCTCTCCAACATAAAATACTTCAGTTAATTATTATTTAATTCAGAATACTACATCCATGCACACAGAAATATTTTAAAGACCACATTGAACAAATTAGAGTTAATACTGTGTTTCCACTCCTTTTATCTTTTCAATATACCCTCAGATGGCAGGTGAAGGACTAACGGAGAGTGAAGCTAATATAAGACAGATAAGGACAATGAAGAAAACATCCATCAGAGTGCTATTGACTGTTTCATTGAAATTATTAGCAGGCTAGTATCGATGAGTTGTGTTGTGCTTCATCAGCTCTTCCTGTGAGGTGTTACTCAGCTTGAAAAAAGTACCTTTGCAGGTATAGCTAGTGGCTCATTAGCAATTTAACTGATTGCAAACAGCATACAAATACATACAAAATCAATTCGCTGCAGAAAAATAAGGCAATTCTGACAAAAAGAAAAAAAACTACATTGTCTCAGGGCCTTCTGCTTCCCAACAAATTATTCTTATACAGACTTTCTTTAAGAATAGGACAGGGCCCAATCTTCCTCTTTCGAAACGCAGAGAATTACACCGCAGAAAGTAGGGAAGGTTAATACAACAGCTAAACTTGATTAAAGTTCATTCAGTCAAACTAATTAATACAGATTATATTTGTATATTTATAATATTTGAGACAGAGAGAAAAAGAATTGGATCTCTGCCTGCCTGCCTGTATTCCATGTTTCTAAACTGCCCATCTCCTTCAAAGATTACTAAAATATAAAATTTCTCCCAGGAGAAGCTCTATTCAGACATGTAACTGTACTGAATGACTGGAGTTAAACATGCTACCCAGGGGTAGGCTTCAAAAATTTTAGCAAGAGGTTCTCTGCCCGGTTGCTGGCTAGGCGTGGCCATGGTGGACGTGACCTAGTTGGCCTCCTGCATCACAGTGGGGGAGAGGAGTTTTTGCCCCCCCAGGCTCTGGAGGCTCTTCTCGAGCCTCCGGGAAGGCGAAAAGGGCCTCCCCAGCTGCAAAGGCCCTCTGGAGGCCAGAAACGAACTTCCGGTAGGCCCATTTTTCATCCTCCCCGAGCCTCTGTGCGCTGTGCACTTACCTGTATCCAAAACGGGCTGCGTGGGGACTCCTGGGAGGGGAGGGGAGGGGAGGGGAGGAGTGGGCGGGGCCAGCCAGGAGTGGGATTTGGGGATTCTCCGAACTGCACAGAATCTTAGCTAAATGTTCTCCCGAATCCCTGCGAACCCCCAGCAGTCCACCCCTGATGAGATTCACTGATTAACTAGAAACTCATACTTTTTTTAAAAAAATGAAAGGTTCTTTAGACTTCCCAATTTAATGTAAAGTAGTCAAGAGGAGTTTAACCTGTGCTATTATATCACTATATTGCCTTTAGTCTCTTTGTAAACAGAACTAGAGTAACTTTCTGTGCATTTGTCATCCACGAGTACCTATGTGTCTTCCTTAAACTGATGCTTTAAAAAAATAAGCACCTGCATTTTATCTTTTGGTTCCCCCCCCAAATTGCAGATAGATCAAGAAAGTGTTTTTAACCTAGAAGAGGGGGGAAAACTTGCATCTTCTACTTTGAACAGGTGGCATGAAGGGCTTTCCAAATAGCCAAGCTAAATGAGTTATCTAATTCATGTGTTCTCTAATTAGATAACTCACAATGATTTCCAGCATAAACATTTAGTCCTAATCACCCTTTATGATGCTTATGATCCAAGTCTGCATCTTGTTTTGTTATTTTAAAAGCTGCCCTTGAGCTATTTACAGCTTGTTATACAGTATCTGGCTTTCAAGGATGATGGAAAGACAGATTAGATTTTGATTCTATGTATATTTGGTTAATTAATCGTTAATTAGTGTTTCCACTGAATACCTGAGAAACTGCAAGAGTTTCATGATGAAACTACGGTATGAATTGAAATAATATTTGGATTTGTACAGTGCAGCATTTAAAACACTGGACTAAAATTAAAAATAGCAAAGCTTAAAAGTTCTTACAGCATCTTGGGACAAGATACTACAGGCTCTTTTTGATGCATTTTTTTCTGGTGCATTAGTTAGATCCATATAGTTTCCTTTTCTGGAATCTCTTGTGAAACAAACAAGTGAAGAGGATAGCAATAGCACTTAGATTTATAAACTGCCCCTTAGTGCTTTACAGCCCTCTCTAAGCAGTTTTCAGAGTCCACACATTGCCCCCAACAATCTGGGTCCTCATTTTACCAACCTTAAAAGGAAGGAAGGATGAGTCTGTCACATGTAAATGCCTAACGTATTGCCCACTGGCAAAGTAAGGGTTAACATAAACCACCCCCACATAATCTCCCCCTTAACCCCACCTTACCTTGACCCCGCCTCTCAGGTATATAAGTTGCTGTTCCAAAGTCCAGACTCCATTCCAGCTGACCACCTGTAATAGATAAATATGCTGTAAATAAATGTGTGCGCTCACATTTGTGAACCAGTAGCAAAGGTAAGTGAATTTCACCCCTGTATATAGGGCATAGTTATCTAGTATCCAATTACAGTAATCCATAGATCGTTGCTCCTCTTTAAGCTTATTTCACCTTTTATTAACCCAGAGAAATGTTTCCTTTTGTTGATCTTAGGTCATTCCCCCTTGTAATTCACCTGATCTATTTAAGGTTCAAACCTATTCCTATAAGGTGCATTGTAAATTGAATGCTTACCTGCTTTTACTACAAGGAAGCCTGATTTTTACATGATCTATTTTTCTGGTAGTCAGAACACAGTTTGGTTTTTTTTGTCAAGTAATTTATTTACATTACAGGTAAGCCAGACTACAGAATATATTAAGTTAGGCTTATCTGATGTGGGTGTCCTCCAGATATGTGGACAAACCCCTAGAACTTCTCAACAGATCAGCTATTGCTGAGAAGTGTCCAAGATGGGAAGTCTATATTGGAGACTTCTATTTGGGTATTTGGAAATAAGATTGATTTTTGCTTGAAGCACTTCTAGTACCAGTCACTATGTTTAGATATCAATGAATACCTTCATATACAATTCCCTTTTTTCCTTAATAAGGTGAAGTGCCTGTACTGCTTGTAATGTTAGTTTCTATCAGCTTGTAAAGCTGAATGCATATCTGATGTAAAGTTGGGTGAGTATTACTAGCTTGTAGTATCTTCTGAGAGGGTGAAGGCTGCTAAAACTGAGATAAAAGTTTCATGCAAAATCAAAAAAGAATTTTAAATTCATTTGCATTCTAAAGCCTGTTCCAGTATATAGTGAAAGTATCATCAATATATACAATATTTTAAGAAGGAGAGGATAGTTTAGTTGATTTTCCTGTAATATTTGGGTGATAGTGAAGGTAACTTTTAATGAAAATATACATCTTTCCTTAGGTCAGTAAATTGAAATACTTTATTCTAATAGGGAGATTTACAGGGAGATATGACTAATGAAAAGTATTTTTTTAAAAAATAATTTTTATTAATATATTCTATACACCAATACACAAATAAAATATACAATCCTGCCACCATGGTATAATGTGATTACATTGTCCATAAATATAAAGTCATTCCTTTATACATACATATTTGCCATCATATATATACATCATCATATATCTATTCTATCCCACCTTTTCTGGACCCAATCGTACCATACTTTTCAACTGTTATAAAATTCTGAATCTTTTTTACCATTGATCAATCTAGTTAATCTATCTGATTCCGCACACTCATTAATTTTATATATTATTTTCAAATCTATTGGTAAGTATTGATTTTTCCACTCCTGCGCATATGCTAATCTTGCTGCAGTAATAATGTGAATCAACAAGAACCATATATCTGATTTAACATTCAAAGGTTTTGCCTCCAATAGGAAAATCTCAGGCCTTAATTCCAAATTAATCTGTGTAATTTCCAAAATCCATTGCCGTATTTTTTTCCAATATTTAACTGCCTGCAGGCAGGTCCACCATTAGTGAAAATAAGTTCCATTACTGTAACCGCACTTCCAACAGCAGGCAGATGTCCCGGGAAACATTTTAGCTAATCTCGCCGGGGGGAGATGCCACCGGTAGACCATTTTATATATGTTTTCTTTGTATGAAGAAGCCATAGTTAATTTCATATTTTTCAACCAAATCTGTTCCCATTGCTGGAAGTCAAGGGGATATCCAAAATTTTGCCCCCATGCTATCATACAATCCTTCACTACATCCTGTTCTATCTGCAGAGACAATAAATATGCATAACATTTAGATAGTATCCCTTTCCCTCCTTCTAGTAAGATCTTATCCAATTCTTGTTTTTTACGGTAGATTCCTTCATTATATAAATCTTTTTTATACCTGGAGTGCACTTGAGAATAAGACCACCAGTCTATCTTATATCCTTGAAGAGTTAATAATTCTCGTGACTTCGGATTACCCTGAACATCCAAGAAAACTTCATACGTCAAGGTTTTCTCCCCTTTATACAATGTCGGGTAAATCTGAGCTTCCTGCACCGAAATCCAACATGGAACTTTTGAATATACTCTTCTTCTAACCTTTTCCCAAGTGTACCCAAGCGTCCTACGTAAATAGTGATCATCAAAGTGTCTAGGGCAGCCGGATGCTCCCGGCCATAGAAAATAGTGCCAGCCATGTTGAAGACCAGCTCCCTCAAATGTCAAAAGTCGTCTCTTTTGTAGGACCATCCATTCTTTCACCCAAATCAAATTCGCTGCTTGGTGATAGAGCTCCCAATTTGGGAGTCCAAATCCTCCTCTATTTTTGGGTTCTTGTAACATTTTAAGTCTAATCCGTGGCCTCTTTCCCTGCCAGGTAAATTTAGATATACTCCTATCCAAATTTGTAAAAAACTCTTTATTCAACCTTACTGGGGCTGTTTGGAATAGAAATAACCATTTGGGTAACACGCACATCTTAATGGTTGCCACCCTTCCCAAAATTGATAGCTGGAGATTTTTCCATCTTTCTAGGTCTCTGAGCATCTGGCTGTAAAGAGGAAGATAGTTATCCTCCTTTATGGAGGAGCATCTGGCAGTCAACCGTATACCCAGATACTTAATTTTATTTGTTATTCTTAAACCCATTAACTGCTCCAGCTGTTGCCTTTGCATCTGAGTCATATTTTTCGCTAGGATTTTAGTTTTTTCTTCATTCATCAGTAATCCCGCTACCTTCCCATATTCTCTAATCAAGCATAATAATTTCAGGCCCGAGTCCAGTGGTTGATCCAAGATAAATACAAGATCATCTGCATAAGCCTGGACTTTAACTTCCTCCTGCCTAATCTTCATTCCTCTTATTTCTATGTTTCCTCTCATTTCTCTAAGCAGGGGCTCTAAAGTTAATACAAATAGCAATAGGGAAAGGGGACATCCCTGTCTTGTACCTCTACGAATTTGAATTCTCTCTGTCTCCTCTCCATCTATGAGAACTCTTGCAGTCTGCTCCCGGTAGATAGCTCGAATTGCCCGAATAAAATTCCCACCAAACTCCATATATTCCAATTGAGAAATCATAAATTCCCAACTGATTCTGTCAAATGCTTTTTGGGCGTCAACAAAAATTAAAGCTAATTGTTTATCCGGGTGATTTTTGAAAAATTCTAGTGTATTCATGATAATTCTAAGATTATCTCGTAGATATCTATTAGGAAGGAAGCCGTTTTGGTCCGAATGAATGAATTGGTTAAGGAAGCAGCTAAGCCTGGCTGCAAGAACCCCCGCAAATATCTTATAATCGGAATTTAGTAATGTTATTGGTCTATAGTTCTTAATAAGAGATAGATCAGTTCCTTCTTTTGGGATAATAGAAATATAAGCCTCAGTCCAAGATACTGGAACCTGAGCCTCTTTCATAACCTCATTGAATAAATCCATCATGTATCTTCCTACCACATCAAACACTATTTTGTATAATTCAACTGGAAGGCCATCTCTACCCGGGGTTTTGCCATTTGCCTGTGCTTTCATAACTGTTTCTACTTCCACCATCGTAAATTCCACATTAAGAATTTCCTTCATTGTTTCTGAGACTTTAGGCAAGTCTGTCTTTTCCAAATATTTCCGAATTTCACAAATATTTTCCTCTCCTTTCTGATAAAGCTGTGTGAAAAAATCCTGAGCTACCATTCTCTTGCCTTCCTTAGTACAATGAAGATTCCCAATTACATCTTTCAGCCCTTCTATTCTCCATTGTTCCTGCTCCTTTCTAAGCCGGTAAGCCAACCATCTAATGAAAAGTATTTTTGTTTACAATTGTATTTATTTTACAAATTCTATGCCAATCATCTGATCAACTCTGAGTGGTATATGATGTAAAAATATAAATATTTTGGTGGTGAAATCCTCCATGGGTTTCCACTTCCATGGTTTGCCGCCTACACATGTGCAGTACACGGCAAATGTATGCTGCGTCTGTGTGCACTTCATGTGGAAAAATGAGCCATTTGAAGGTAAGTAGAACAGTGAGGGGAGGAACAACTGTGCCGCGAGATTTAGATTCGATAGAAAGCAAGATTTCCTGCTTTTTAGCGAATATAAATTGTGCGGCACAGCTGATTGTCAGAAATATTGGTTCAGACGAATCAGTAGCTTTTTTTTTACTACCAGTTCACTCAAACCGGTGTGAACTGGTAGCCTTTCACCCCTGCTTTGTATACATCATGTTCTATATGATGATGGGGCAACCACCAAAAAGTCCTGCCTCTGGTCTACTCTCTTACTACCTCTTATGGAAGACGGACTACTTAACAGACTTTCTGTTTTTCAAGGTTTAGTTCTGTTAATTTGGTATCAAAATCAAAGAAACTGTATATTCTGTTTTTTCCCTGTGTTGGAAGCAACGAAGTGCTTCTGTGGTGAAAGGATTTGCTGGTGGTATCATAATTGCCTGGGGAACACCCAGTTATGGGCTCCTTTTGTGTCCCTTGAAGTGGTACCAAAGTGGTACCCATTAATCTACTCACAGTTGCCTGCTTTTGAACTGCTGGGTTAGCAGCAGTCGGAGCATGTGACGGGAACTCACCCTGCCCCATGGCAGCAATGGGTCTCAAATGAGTGCCTGCAAATTGGCAGCCAGCGTTCTAACTTCGTGAGCCACCATGCTCCACTGTACTCTCTGTATATTCTTTTGTGATACATTAAATATATTATTAATCTTACTGTGCATTCAATAAATGACTGAGGAATTAAATTAGAAAACTATACAGGCAGAATTCCTTTCATGTCATTTAGCTGTCAGAGTCAAAGACCAAGCTCTTAATTCCATTTCATTTCCATCTACCTAAGCATGAATTTTGCCCCATTGCTGGCAATGAAGTAAACTCTTTTTCTCAAGGTGGAGAGAACTGACGCTTAGCATGACAGATTGTGTGATACACTCTGCTATACTCTTCAAGGCAAGGAATAGCTGGAGGGCTCCATAAAGGACTAGCCAGGAAATATGTTGTCACTGCTTTTCAGTAGAATATGTAGACAATATTTAAGGTAACCTTAATTGGAATTTTCCTACTCATTTATTGAGTTCCTTATTTAGCAAAGTATGATGTTTGTGAGTGCAAGTAAGCCGATTAGAGACAGATGCTATGGTTTTAAAATAATGCTTCTTTTAAAGCGTTTTCATGCTTCAGTTAAAAAAAGTCTGTAGTGAATTGGGTTATTTTTGTTGTTGATTGATTAAGCATGCCTGGGATCTTGTATTGTTGCCCAGTTGTTTTGGCCTCCTATATATGTTGCAATTCTTACAGAATTACTGTAGCTGAGGAATTTCAAAAAAGCAAGCAAGGGAGAAACCTAGCATGATGTTACTTTTCTAAGTTTTATATCCTTCCTGGTGGGGAGAAGAAAAAGGAAGACATAGTCCAGTGTTTCTTAATTTTGGCAACTTTAAGGTGTGTGGGCTTCAACTTTATTATTTATTTATTTTGTCGAGTACATATTAGATAATATATATAAGTATAAGCATGAATTGAATACATAAAATGAGTACAATTAAAGGGAACATTAGGACAGGGATGGTAGGCATGCTGGTGCGCTTATGCACGCCCCTTACAGACCTCTTAGGAATGGGGTGAGGTCAACAGTAGACCGTTTTAGATTAAAGTTTTGGGGGTTTGAGGATGAAACCAAAGAGTCTGGTAGTGCATTCCAGGCATTGACCACTCTGTTGCTGAAGTCATATTTTCTGCAATCGAGTTTGGAGCGGTTCATTTTAAGTTTGTATCTATTGTGTGCTCATGTATTGTTGTGGTTGAAGCTGAAGTAGTCATTGACAGGTAGGACATTGTAGCAGATGATTTTATGAGCTATGCTTAGGTCATACCGAAAGTGGCGTAATTCTAAATTTTCTAAACCCAGAATTTCAAGTCTGTTGGCATAGAGTATTTTGTTATGAGCAGAGGAGTGGAGGACTCTTCTTGTGAAATATTTGTGGATACACTCAATTGTATTAATGTCCGATATGCAGTACGGGTTCCAGACAGATGAGCTGTATTCGAGAATTGGTCTAGCAAATGTTTTGTATTTTGCAGAATTCTACCAGCCAGCATATGCCAAGGCTGAGAAACACTGATGGAATCTATTCTTTCTGTAAGAATGTTAAGAATATCCATCTTCCATTCAGATAAAAGTTGAGCAGAAACGATCACTTGCTTGCTATCTCTACTCTTAATGCCTCCAGTGGTCAATAAGATAAAATATAATGTATTGTTTCTGAGGCTTTGTTTGGCTTTGTTCTGCCTAGAGGCAGGGCTAACTTCCCACGTAAATAAATTCACCCTTCATCAGAGCTACTCACTCTGCCTTCCTCCTCTTCTTCAACATGTATTGTTGCGAATGAATTTTCTGAATGATTGGCAAGGAGCTTCTATGATGGTGGTTATATTTATTTTATTTTTATTTATTTATTTGTTTGTCAAACATGTACAAGATAGCAGGTATAGGTATAAACATAAATATAAACAGAGGAAATAAGCACAGATAAATGGGGACAGTAAGACAGGGACAGTAGGCATGCTAGTGTGCTTATGCACCCCCCCCTTTACGGACCTCTTAGGAATGGGGTGGTCCATGGTAGACAGTTTAAGGTTGAAGCTGTGAGGGTTAGAGGATGTAACAACGGAGTCAGGTAGAGCATTCCAGGCATTGACCATTCTGTTGCTGAAGTCATATTTTCTGCAATCGAGTTTGGAGTGGTTTACCTTGAGGTTGTATCGATTGTTTGCCTGTGTATTTTTGTGATTGAAGCTGAAGAAGTCATTGACAGGTAAGACGTTGTAGCCAGGGGTGGGTTCTACTTACCTTTACTACTGGTTCGCAACGGGGCCATGCGCCCACACTTGCTTTGTTCGAGTGCGTGCGCTTCTGTGCATGCGCAGAAGCTTCCTGATGATGTCGTGGTCAGTGGGCGGAGCCTCCTGACAGTTTTACTACCAGTTCTTGTGAACCGGTCCGAACTGGGGGCAACCCACAACTGGTTGTAGCAGGCAATTTTGTGTACTATGCTTAGATCGGACCGTTCTTAGGCAGCGCAGTTCCAGATTGTCCAAGCCCTGAATTTCAAGTCTGATGGCATAAGGGATTCTATTGTGAGTAGAGGAGGGGAGGACTCTTCTCATGAAATACCTCTGGACCCACTTCACATATATGTGCACCAGTGGTGAAATCCAATTTTTTTTTACTACTGGTTCTGTGGGCGTGACTTGGTGGGTGTGGCAGGGGAAGGATACTGCAAAATCTCCATTCCCATCCCACTCCAGGGGAAGGATACTGCAAAATCTCCATTCCCATCTGACTCTGGAGCTATCCAGAGGTGGTATTTGCCAGTTCTCCGAACTGCTCAAAATTTCCGCTACCGGTTCTCCAGAACCTGTCAGAACCTGCTGGATTTCACCCCTGCTGTGCACATATATGCACAGGATTCATTCCTGCAAGTGTTCAGCAGGCATTCATCAAAAGATGTTGGCTTGGCATGTATTTTCACTGATGACCATGGCACACCAACACAGCCCTTTCACTATTTTTTATGTGTTTCTCCACCCTATCTAAATTCCCTTCGAACAGGTTTTTATGGGCAAGATACCTTCATAGTCACTGCATAGTTTTCCTTTGAGTCAAAATAAGAGTGCCACAATTTGTTTCTTTCTATAGCTGAGCTGCTTTTAAACAATGCTACGTGAACACTGGATTTGAAAGTTTGTTCTCACATCATCAGTCACTTTACTGATGAGGAAGATCAAATGTTTATAGGAACCACTGCAAAATGTTTTGGTCCTATAGGGATTATGCCGTTTGCTAATCGTTACAACTAAAAATGTGAAAGAAGCGACTAAGATGTGTGGGATGTGTGTGGAATATTTCTGTGGTAAAATTCAACAAGGTTGTGTGGAGTGCATACCTGTATCTTAGCAACAGGTATATGGAACATCTATTCGGCATAATGTGCGATTGTTTGACTAACGGATGAAATCAGCATCATATTGATGAATCACATAAGAATCACCTAAGTTTTCTCTCTCTTGTAACTGAGTTTTTAATAAAGAGGGGGAGAATGAGAGAGAGAGAGAGAGAGAACATTTAAACATACAGAATCTTAGTGTAAAATTGTTACACATGTGCCCACTACTGTCAGGTTCAAAAAACCAAGAAAGACACATTGAGGTTCTTCTAAGCAATTTCCTTTCTCCAGAGGTGGGTTTCAGCAGGTTCTGACCAGTTCTGGAGAACCAGTAGCGGAAATCTTGAGTAGTTCGGTAGTAAAAATTCTGACTGGCCCCGCCCCCATCTATTCTTTGCCTCCCAAGTCCCAGCTGATCGGGAGGAAATGGGGATTTTACAGTATCCTTCCCCTGGATTGGGGTGGGAATGGAAATTTTACAATATCCTTCCCCTGGATTGGGGAGGGAATGGAGATTTTACAGTATCCTTCCCCTGGATTGGAGTGGGAATGGAAATTTTACAGTATCCTTCCCCTGCCATGCCCACCAAGCCACGCCCACCAAGCCATGCCACGCCCACCAAGCCACACCCACAGAACCAGTAGTAAAAAGTTTTGAAACCCACCACTGCCTTTATTGTTCCTCACATATAGACATAACTACTTGCACCAATAAACATATATTCTGAGAACTACTAGGGAGGAGTCACCTTAACTTTTCCCCTCGCAAACTATCTAAACTTTTTTGTCTTTTGCTCCTCTGGAGTGTACTCCCTTCTTCCTGGGGATCAAGACTGCATTCCATCACACCTACTTCTGACAATGAGAAAATTCAAGAACTGCCCCCTGCTTCTTTTTCCATTTTGATTCCAGCACAGACTAGAACTTAGTGCGCAGTTGACCATTGCCATGTGTCTCCCCACATATATCTAGTACTGGGCATTTAGTAAGCTTATTTTCTGAAATTACAAATAGTTTGATATGAAAGATAACACCAATGAACTTAGAATTGAGACTACGCATAGTCTGCAAGAAACTAAAGATGGGAATGAGGAGCTAAGGAATGACCAATGAGGAGCAAAACTGATAATGGAATCAATATTTTTGACTAAGAAGAAAGCCAGAAATCAGATGCATGGCACAAGACCGGGAGCCAGGAGATCATTGTTAAGGGCAAGCCAAAAAATACAAGGAATACATTAAATGCAGGAAGTCTTTGTTGCTTAGGCAACAAAGGAACAACACAATCAAGAAGTCCATTTGTAGTGCTTCTTCTACAGGATAAACTAGAGTCCTCAATCTTTCAACTTCATCACAAGTAATCAATTGAAGAAATTTAATCTATAATAAAGATTGAATTTGTGATCAAACTATAGCTCAGTTGCAAAATTTTCCTACGTGCTGATATAATCTGAGAATACCTGGATTATACCCCAGCTGGACAATGGTAGCATATCTGCTTCTAAAAACACATTTAAGTAGTTTGTATCTTTAAAAAGAGAGTATGTATTTGCAAGTGTCTATTTCTTCCTCATTTGCCACATCACCATCTTTCTGACCAGGAAGCTACTGTATAACTGAGAAAAATCAGCAGTTGTTTTTATGGTTGGAGAAGGGTGTGGGGATTCATAGCTTAAATTCCCCACATGAAAGACACTTACTTGACTGTTCTTTAAACATATTTTTGTCATTTTAGAAACAAGGCAACAGAAGATTTTTGTCTGCGCAAGCATTTTGAAATAGGCCTGTTATAAGCGCAATTTATTTGTCTAGTTGCCCATTAAGCAGTGGCGGGTTGCTACCGGTTTGGTCCGGATCCTGTGAACCAGTAGTAACAGCGGCAGGAGACTCCGCCCACCCACCCGGACGTCATCATGGATGCTCTGCGCATGCGCAGCAGCTTCTGTGCATGCGCAGAAGCGCCACACGCTCCAGTTGCGAACCGGTAGCAAAGGTAAGTGGAACCCACCCCTGCCATAAAGTCTGGAGAGAAAGAGAGAGAGAGAGAGAGAGAGAGAGGGAGGGAGGGAGGGAGGGAGGGAGGGAGGGAGAGAGAGAGAGGGAGGGAGGGAGGGAGAGAGAGAGAGGGGGGGGAGAGATCTAACGTCATTGTGTTATGACTCATTTCTTTATAAATAGCACTTTGTACAATTGCAGCTGTGGGCTCCATTGTCTCGCCTCCTCTCCTGCTCCCAAAATCTGTAACAGGCAGGTGATTCCACTTTTGTTTGCCCTGGAAAATGACCTGGAAAAAAATACACATCAACCACAGGGTTTCCCCCACCCCCACCCCCTTTGGCTTAGACTGAAATTTGATTTAGAGTTTCCCAATGTGGGTGACAAATATCCCAGAAACACAAAGGCCAAAGACTCTTAGAGGGAAAGATGCATAAGAATGGACTTAAATTTATATTTGCACTTTGCAGGAATATGCGATCTAAAATATCAGTCACTTTTTGACATTTGCATTTTTTAAAATATTGGCATACAGTTCTCTAAGTCAAAAATGCAAACAATCTGTGTATATTCTGGTGAGACATAAACAATGATGCTAGTGATAACATACAAGTTGCCTGATATTATTGTATAATAATGACAACACACAAGTTGCAAGATGATTATGGAAAAGAAATGTGTATATTTGACCAACTGGTATCAAAGGCTTGTGCATTTCCATCCAAAAGACTGGAAAAATAAGAAGTTAGAAAGGAATCCAAGTGGACCTTTTTCCTTTCTCAACTGAAGACCAAGTTTCTTCTAGTTGTAATTGGATTGGTTCAGAATCATGCCAAACAATTTCCTTGAAAATTGGGAAAGAGCTCTGCTTATTTTTGAACTGAATTCTTGGGGTCGTTTTTCCTGCTTCCACTTCTGTACACTTCATTCCTTTCTCCCACACTTTTAAGTCAAGGAAGGGAAAGGCAGAAGCAAGAGAAGTCTCTTTCCTTTTCATATTCTGGTACATGTCATGATGTTCCACAGCAGTTAAGGCCTTGTGTATTTTTCAAGAAGCAGAGCAGAGTATAAAATGTCCAGTTAATAGGGGGTTGCCAGTATTCTCAATATAAGAGTGTGAAGAGAGTAAGATACCTTTTTCATAAATCCCTCTGAAAAAATAGAAGCAACAGGTTGGTATTAAGAACTGGGAGGAGGTGAAGATAAAAGATATTGTTGCATTAGCAGTAGAAAGAGAAAGTTGGAACAATTCTTCAGACCAAAATGTTGTGCTAAAAATAATTTAAGAGTCATGATGTCCAACTCATATTGGAAGAACATGGTAATCAAATGAAACTATGAACCTCAAATGGTTGCATAATGTATGACATCCAAGGCAAGACATGGCTTAGTTCCAGGATTGATGTTCAGCATCAGGTATCTAAACTGTAATATGTGAAGGAATAAAATATCGGTATAGTTTGATAGAAAATATAATGACTGGAAATATAAATTAGAGTTAGAATACAATAAAGACAACCTATAATCATCAGCAGGTTAGGGAAAAGGAAGTGGTAATGGAGCAGAATAACAGAGTTGGAAGGGACTTTGGAGGTCTTCTAATCCAACTCCAGCAGGAGGCACTATACCCTTCTGGATAAATGGCTATCCATTCTCTTTTTGAAAATCTCCAGTGATGGAGTACCCATAACCTATTGTTGGAAGAAATCTCCTTCTGGATTCTGCTCCAAGTGGGGAAAAAGACACTGCTAACATGGAGACTGCTTGGAAAGATGGTTTAATGGTGGACAGGATCACATGGCTTGAGTTCCTGAACAGAAAAGGGAGGAATACAGCAAGTCCATGGGTTTTTATGCTGTCTCTGGCTTTGCATTTCCTGGGGCCCCGAAAGAGTATCCTGATTGGTTGTCAGACTCCCAGGGGGTGGGGGTCTTAGCTAGCCTTGCTAGCTGATGGTCACATGTGCTTCCCAGGTCACATGCTTCCCAGGTCACATGTGGTGAGTTTCGGTTGCTAGATGGGGCCCATTGTGTTAGTTTCTGTTGCTATTGTGTTGCAAATGTCCTTTGACAAAGGATTGGGTTTCTGTCTCTGGCCCATTAACAAAGGGTGGGGGGCAGGAAGGTGGGAGCTGCTTTGTCTGTAAAATATGCTTGTCCATTTCTCATCCAGGGAAATATAATATTCTGCCTTTTTCATATTTCCTAAAATATTTCACTCTTCCAAGAAAGGGGTGGGTGCTAACCTCCTACACTCTGAAGGCAAGCCATTCCACTGGTTTATTGTTCTCACAGTCAGGAAATTTCTTCTTAGTTCTAGGTTGCTCTTTTCCTTGATTAGTTTCCATCTATTGCTTCTTATCCTGCCTTCAGGTGCTTTGGGTATGAAATGATGCCTTGCAAATGACATAATGACACAAATATGAAAGGATGCCTGTGAGAAGTCTCCCTCCCTCACCTTGAGCACTACTGATGCCTACATGCAGTGGTGGGATTCAAGTAATTTAACAACTGATTCTCTGACCTAATGATTTCTTCCAACAACCAGTTTGCCAAACTGGTCAGAAAGTTAACAACCGGTTCTCCCAAAGTGGTGCAAACTGGCTGAATCCCACCATTGCCTATATGGATGTAATACATAGGTTTTGGGCAACAATATGGAAGTTCTTTGACATTGCTTTCTTCCAAGTTATTTTTTGAACAACTTAGTCCAGTCTCTAACCAGAGATTTCCTGTTGTCTCCCATCAAAGTTCTAACCGAGTCTGACCCAGTTTAGCTTTTCTGAAGTCAGCGAAAGTTAGCTAGGTAAAATAGATTCTTTACAAATGACATTCAAATGTGCTCTTTGGAGAGTCACAGATTCCTAGACTTTTGCTATTATCTAAGAAAACAATGCTTTAAATACATGTAGTGTCCAATATGGATATTTTCACTACAGTTCTTAAGATTTTTTTAAAAATCAGTTTCTGTTTTCTGCCATTTTCGTTTTCATCTCATTCCAACCTCGAGTTTTAAATATGCTCATTTAAAGCAGATTAAAATATTCAATTACTACTTTCTGTTTTAGTGGGATAGTGGTGAGCATGAATTCATAAAACCTCATTCACATTCATGAGGAATATCAATAAAATATATGAAGAAATCACTTGGGAAATTGCAAATCATATTAAGACTGATCCAATATTATATTTTTATCTCAGTATATTGCCCAAAGTGGTAAAATTGACAATAACATCTAATCTGAGTTCTGTAATTGAGTAATATTAAATGGCTCTGGAAGAGCTAATGGAAGCATCTGTATTAGACATAAATAATTACATATATTCTTAAAGGAATTAAAGTAACTAATTAAATTATGAGAATTATTTGCAATGCAAAGAATAAACTTGAACTCCTTCCAATAATGCTGAACAGAGGATCTCAGTAAGTCCTCCCCCCAATCAATATTGTGCAAAAAAATGTAAAAACAAAGTTTGAATGAGTTTATATTGATTAAAATAAAAACCCATGTACACAATAATGCACATAAAGCATAAACAAATATTTATATCCTGCCAAGAATTGTATACAAAATGCTGTTTATGGGAGAACTTTAATTCCAATAGAAGAGAATATTCGTAGTTCAGAATTGAATTGTGGAGCCCTTAGTGTTCTCAGAGCTTGATGCTATAATATTACTTAGTTGGATAGTGAAAAACCTGCAAGAAAACAATCAAGCTCAGAGAGCACCAAGGACTCCACAGACCTTTAGTTATTCATTCAGAATGCTTTGTATAATCTTATAACTTGAGGCTTCTCTGAATTTTGAAAAGAACTTCTCCAGAAAGGTTCTACCAAAGCATCTTCTATCATTATTGCTACTACCCATCCTACCATCACAAGTGGTTTTCCTATAATGAAAATAGGTTTTCCTATAATGATAAGACTTACAATGATTGTCCATATTTTCCTGGCTCTGTGTAATTTCTCAGCAGTATTTGATATCAGTCATGGGATCTTTCTAGACTGACTCTGGAGCTTGGGAATTGGACACTGACTCCACTGGTTCTCCTTTCTCTATCAGTCAGTTTTGGTGATGGGGGAAGAGATTGAGCCAAGGCTGTTTTGAGCCTACAGGGCTCAAAGGGATGCAGTGGCTCAGTGACTAAGAGCTTGTCGATCGAAAAGGCCAGCAGTTCAGCAGTTCGAATCCCTAGTGCCACGTAACGGAGTGAGGTTCTGTTACTTGTTCCAGGTTCTGCCAATCTAGCAGTTCGAAAGTACCTAAAAATGAAATAGAAAAATGGGGACCACCTTTGGTGGGAAGTTAACAGCGTTCCGTGCGTCTTTGGCATTTAGTCATGCCGGCCACATGACCACGGAGATATCTTCGAACAGCGCTGGCTCTTCGGCTTTGAAATGAAGATGAGCACCGCCCCCTAGAGTCGGGAACGACTAGCATATATGTGCAAGGGGAACCTTTACCTTTACATTTACAGGGCTCAAAACTGTCCTCACTCTTATTTAATATCTACAAATGATCACCAGCATGATCATTGTCAGCACAGGATCAACAATAATGAGCTTGCGGATGTTACTTATTTCACAGCATTATATCAAGACACCTCTTCCATAAAATCCCTGTCATTCACTTGTCACACTCTCAAATACACTAAAAGGGGTAGTAACAAATGCATCACAAAAAATACAAATAACCCTAGTTTCCATCAAACTAAATCTACACAAAACTGCCTTTGAGTCTGAAGAAAACACCTGGCAACCACATTCCAGAAAAGGCCTCAGAAAAGCAGGATTAATATCATGAAAAGAAACTCCAAATCTCCCCACATTAGGTCCCAGTAATACAATGCAGATAATTGAACAAATTATTTACATTATTTACATCTATACTCAACATACTGAATATGGGGAATTCAAGCCTACATTTTCAAAAATTACACCTGAGCATTTAAAATGAGAAACCAATCAAATTGGAGACCTATGCAGACAGCAATTGAAGACCTTCCAAAAATATCCTGCCCGACATACACATAGACCATCCCTGTAGTCTTAGTTTGAGAAAACCTAAAACCCCAAGCATTCTCCTATTGTTCCAAAATGCAAAGAGCAATATTCAATAATCCAACCACTTCCCTCAAATTCTCACTCCTAATCCAAATTGCACAATCATTTGTAAAGATACTAAAATGTACCCATTGAGATAAAACCTGAGGTAAATCACCATTATATTAAACAAAGAAAGCCTTAATGCTACTCTGAGGAACACCATTAGTCACATCCTGGAGGTTAAAAAAGGAATTCTACTGCTAACCCAAATCCATCTACAAAAGATGGACTGCCATAAAAATCTTCCCTGAATTTCCCATTCATATCTATACAGCAAATCCTCATGCCACACCAAAACATAGAAATCCAAGAATACCACATTCACAAAAGCCTTTGTACAGAAGGCTCTCCACATATCAGTTTCCAATCGAAACACATGATCCAAAGTTCCACACTCCCTCTTGAAAACCACATTGAAAATCCATAAGCAAACAATGCTTATCAAGAAATGCCATTAACTGTTTATTCAACATACATTCCATAGCTCTACATAAACAAGTCATTAAGACAATTGGTTGATAGGATTCTGGAACTGACTCACTGGGATAATAATATCCACCTTCCCAGAATTAGGCAAAATGTTGCTTTCCCACACCATATGATAAAACTTTATCAAAATTTTCAAAGATTCCTCAGGCAAATTTCCCAGAATCTCATAGCTAAGGTCATCTTACTCAGGAGAAGACTTTGACAGAGAACCCAAAGCTCTCTGAACCTTCCAAAAGGAAGGAAAAAAACCTGTCCAGATATAGGATTAGTTCTCCAAAATAACCTCTTTATACAGGTCAAAAAACCTTTTCTGAATACTGTTCAAAACTAACTGACTAATTTTCCATGCCACTTAGATATTGAAAAACAGTTGCCAACTAACACCCCCCAACTTCATCTTTTCATTCGCTGCCAAAACAATTACCACAAAGAAAGAGCTACCCTCCTCCCATCTTCCCAAACCAGCCAACTGCAGTTCTAACAAACTATCATGCTGTTGTGGCCCGCCAGTGGTCAGCAGAGCTGGCAGCAGATTCAGACAGTGAGGAGGTTGGGGAGGAATGTGGGCCAGTCCTGGAGTCTGGGGAAGGCTCAGGTGATGGCTCTGAATCGGAGGCAGAAAGGGGGCCAAGGCCATCTGGTAGTTCTTTGCTGCCTCCGGAGTCTCAGAGTCTGACATCAGTGAGGCAGAAGAACAGCGTAAGCCTGTTCCCAGTCTGCACATGCACAGAGCTGCCAGGAGACAGGAACAATTAAGAAAACAGGGTCAACTTGGGAGTAAAGCTTGGAGATGATTGGCCCCTCCCATAAGACATAAAAAGGAAGCAAACAGGACGTGAGCTTTTGCAGGAAGCAATTAGTTCATCTGGCAGATTCAAGATTTGAAAATTCCGTTTATGACTCTGTGCCAAGTTTGGCCTTGCCTTGTGTCTGGAAATTAGCTTTTTGGCAGTGTTCCACATGAGAACATGAGATAGGTGGGTGTTGATAACCTTCCTCTGAAAGACTGTTTATCAAGCCTTGCAGACTGTAAATGAAAGTAATTTACAGCCATATGAATTAAAGAAGTTTGCCGGGATTAAGTTTGTCCTGTTTAATTTCTAAGGAAGCCTAGGTCAAAACAGACACATCTTCTTAGACCATCCTTTGCCCAACTGAGAATCTCTCTCCATTTGCCCAACTGGATGCCATTGTCAACCCCAAACCATATCCTATTTTCACCCTCTATCTCAATTTCTTCTTCCTTTTCCCTACAACATTTTTTAAATTTGTAAATCTTCCAGAATCACTCAGGTGAGATATTCATTAGATAGATGGGTGGATTGATAGATTAGATAGATAAATGATAGATAGATAGATAGATAGATAGATAGATAGATAGATAGATAGATAGGATAAATACATGATAGATACGTTATATCTATCTATCATATATCTATGTAGAGTTGGTTGCAATGGTTATAGTTGATTTTCTATGTGGGACAAACATCACATCAATTAAAAACCAGGATCCATGAACACCAGCTGGCAGTCAAACACCACAATCCCAAATCTTTAATCTCTACCCACATCAACACCAAGCAACACCAGTTCAATTGGAGCAACACAAAAATCATCCTACCACCTGCCATGTTCATGAGTTCATCGAAGCCTGGGACTCCATAAGCAATTCCATCAACAGACACATTAACCTACAACCAGCCTATGAACCCCTCAGAATCCAAATCAACCACACGGCCAACCAGAGATAGCACTGACCCTCAACCAACCCACGCAACTCCCCCCCAGCAGTTCACTTTGCAATGACCTTGACCTGATGTAATCTCCTTATCACATGACCCATCACAAGACCCACTGTTGACCTAGATAGATGATAGATACCCTTGTTTCCCCGAAAATAAGACCCTGTCTTATATTTTTTTGAACCCTGAATTAAGCGCTTGGCCTTATTTTCAGGGAGGTCTTATTATTTTGGGGTGTGTGGAGCGAGACAGGGATCCTCTTGCTGTCTTACCTGATTTACAGCTCTGTCTCCCTAACCCTAACAGGAGGAAATGGCAGGGACCAGCTGTCCATGTGTTTAAATATTTTCGGGGAGGGCTTATTTTTGGGAGAGGGCTTATTTTGGGGGGAAGGTTTATTTTTGGGGGAGGTCTTATTTTTGGGAAAACACGGTAGGTAGGTAGGTAGGTAGATAGATAGAGAGACAGAGACAGAGAACGACAGAGAGAAATGATAGAAGATAGATAGACAGATAGATAATAGATGGATAAATGACTGACTGACTGATGACTGATGACTGACTGACTGATTGACTGATTGACTGACTGACATAGGCAAGTAGGTAGATGATAGATGTAGATAGTTAAGTGGATACAGTGGTGGGATTCAGCCAGTTCGCACCACTTCGGGAGAACCGGTTGTTAACTTTCTGAGCAATTTGGCAAACTGGTTGTTGGAAAAAAACATTAGGGCAGAGAACCAGTTGTTAAATTACTTGAATCCCACCACAGAGTGGATAGGTAGTTGGATGGGTGGAGATAGATGATAGATAGATAGAGAGATAGACAGACAGACAGACAGACAGATAGATAGATAGTCAGTCTGTTCTGGCCCAGCCCTCTTTTAAATTTAAATGCCTGTCTATCTGCTACATATGACCCAATTGCACTCTATCTTTTGTTTCCTCAGAAGCTTGGGGAGCCTTATCAGATGGCTGGAGGATAGTACAATAAAAACAGGATATTTAAAGCAACAGCCCCCTTTAACTAGATAAGTCCCTAAAAGCTTTTGTTGGATTAGAATGTTATCGAGTAAAAATAAGTATAACCTAATTTCTTTTACCTATCGTAAGAAGTTCAGGTGGACATTTAGCTTGAAATTAAATAACAAAGAAGGAGCCCAATAAAGGTTTTTGTCTCTGAATTTTCCAGGAAAAGAGCAACAAGAGAAAGAAAAATAAAGAAGACCATTTGATGTCTGGGAAGTGAATTATTCAGGATTTTAAGAAGCAGTTAATTGTATTCAGAAATACAGGCTCAGAGATTAATCTTGTAGATTTACGTTGCAGTTTATTTTAGAAAACCTTCTTTAAGCATCCCTTAATTGGCACAACTGTTCTTATGATCTAAACAGAAACGATAAAGAAAGCTATCTCAACATCTGTTTGTTCAAATTGTGATGCATGTATGTATATTCATTTGTAATATGCAAGATAATGTGTTTCTCTAATTTTGGGTATTTCCTGTTTTAGTCTAAAGTATGTTATTTTTTGTTTACTCTTTGAAATATTTACAGTTTGTTTAATTTTATTTGCACAGATTTATTGTAAAGCATTTTGAGCGCTCATGAAGAGCAGGGACAATTTAAGAATGAAATAAGCAAATGTATATTGCTGTAGGCTTGAAAAAAGATGCAATTTGTTCAGTTTCCCTTTCAGGATAAATTTACAGACTTTTTCTCTTCCCTATAAAGACAAAAACTGAAATGCTATTATCAATCACTGTTTCTGTTCCTCAGAATCATGAATTATAGTTTATCAACAATAAAAATGCATTATGCAAGTGAGTAAATTTGAAGTGTATATAAATGTATACAAAAATACATGACATTACGTCTTTTTTTGTGTGTGTGCTATCCCATATAACTCTCCTTGAACAACAGGCCACAATTTTTAAAGTTTGCCCTAATAAAACTCTGCCTGACTTATTGTGGACTTTGGCACTTCTAACATAATTTTATAGGTTGCATAGTAAGTTGCCCCTTCCTCCCTTCCTCCCTTCCTTCCACCTTACCTTATCTTACCTTATTCTCTGTTCTCCTTCTTTCTAACTTTTCTTAAATAATTTATTAAGCATGGATTTTCCTGTGCACTTGTTAACATAGGGAACAAACTGTAAGTTCTAGTACAGGATGATGATTCAGTCTGGGAAAGAAATAAACTGACAATTCTAAGAATATAGTTGATAACAAGCTAACTGCTTTGTATAACAAGTTGCATAGAAGACTAGGCCATAAAAACTTTTTTGGTTCCAGTATTTCCAAATAAAGCCTGCTCTGAGAACTTTATGAAGCACTCAGATTTTTATTTTTAGGGGAGAAAAAAAGGTTTAGTTGGAGACTTTGAATGAGCCTTAGGCTGTCCTTTTAAACTTGTTTACTAAGATGTAAGCCCCTTTAAACACATGCTTACTTCCAAGTAAGTATAAATATGGTTGGAGGGGGTCTACCCTGCCTGAATGTGCTAAATATTCCTTGAATTAATTTTGTGAGCTTAAGCTCCTTTTGGAAAATGGGAAGATCATTTCCTTCTGAGGTGATATCAAGCACTAGAATTAATGCATAAATTAAAACAGATATTCTTTTAAAAATAACATCAGTACCACTTAACTCTGTGCAGGCTGAAATGTGTTTATTAGGGCCGGGCATGCTTTGGAAATTATTCAGAAGTTTTCTGATTCTTGCACAAATACATTTGTCCTCTGCTATTTTTTTTTTTTTTAAGCAGATTGACTTTCCACACAATTTCTGCCAAATGATGCCACATCTACAAAGAATCCATTCATATGACTCTTGAGGATACATCTGCACACATCTTTAGGATATGCAAAAAGGAATTTAGGTAAAGTTGCTCCAATTAATTATGAATCATTTATTCATGAAGCATGCCATATCTTTAATTGAAAAAGAGGGGATTTGCCATTGTTCATACAACTGAACTAAGAACTTCCACTCCAGAAAACCTGGCATTCATACAGAACAAAAACTGGTGAAAAGGTGATTTGTCTTGCTAGTTGCTCATTCATATTTTGTTGGTTGGGGGAGTGATGGCTCAGCTGTTATGAAGCGGAGCTTGTCTTCTGGAAAGCTGAAAGCCTGGGTTCGAGACCTGAGCACCGTGTGACAGGTGAGCTCCTCTTCCTGCCCAGCTCCTGTCCAGCTAGAAAGAATGAAAATGTGACTAGATAAATAGGTACCACTTTAGTAGGAGGGTAACAATGTTCCATGTTTGCTGCATACTCTGCACTGTGGCGTGATGTCATGCTGCCCATGTGAAACGTCTTCGGATAACACTGGCTCCCTCGGCTAGGAAATGGAGATGAACACACACACACACACACACACACACGCACATACACACAACACACACACACACAGAGAGAGAGAATCAGATATGACTGAATAGAGGAAACATTTATTTTTACCTACTTTCTTGGTTAAATGTGTACTGTACAATACAGCAATCGGTTAACAATTGTGACATTTATTGATTTATTTAGCCATCCATCTCACAAACATCTGGTGTACAACAAAACTAAAGCAATAAATACCTAATATCATGACCAATAACAAAAATTAAAAAGTGTAAAAGCAGCTGAAACAAAATTAGAGGCAAAGGGATGTTAACAGTGCTGGAACCAGCTCATCAGTTAAATTTTAGTTACATCACTATTTATATAACTTTCATTAGTTACCATTAATAACAGAGAAAGAGCCAGTTTTGGGTAGGGGATAAGAGAACAGACTAAAAAATGGGAGACTGTGAGTTCTAGTCCCACCTTGGGCACAAAGCAAGTTGAGTGACTTGAGCCGGTCACTTTTTCTCAGCCCTAGGAAGGAGGCAATGGCAAACCACCTCTGAGAAACTTTGCCAAGAAAACTGTAGAGACTTGAGCAGAAATGTATAGAATAGGAAGAGTGGATATTTGTACACCTAGTGTAGGTGGTTATCATTTCTGGTGAGTGCTTTTTATTAAAAAAACTTACTCTTTGAAAAATTCAAGAATTAGTCTGTTAGGTCCACAATATTTCTATTATGTACACAAAGATGCACTTTCCCATACTGGTTCTTATTTTGGTTTATACAACAGTTTGAAATCAGCCCATCTGCAGAAATACACTGTTCTTTCTAACTTCTTCCTAAATTCTATTTATCTGTCGGCATTTCTTATAGGAGAAAATAGTAGTTCCTGAGGCAATCTCTTCATTACAGTATGATACTATTAATATAGTTGATGACTCAAATACTATTTAGAACCCAATCAGATCTCCCATCAAAAATTGTTCAGCGTCCCAAATCCTGAAAAATGATAGTTAGGTGCTCTCAACCTATATGCTTTTCCAGAATTTTATAATTACGTAAATTCAAGTTTCTGTAACTCTGAAAAATGTGCAATTTCTCTGACTTTTGACTATGATCACAATTTTAATGCAGAATTAGATTTCATTATTCTATTTGCTCTGCTAAGTCATGCTGCCTACTATGAATGAATTTATCCCAAGTTTTCTAGCTTAAATAGAATTTTTCACCCAGTTTTGAATGTAAACCTGTTCTGGATCACTGAAATAATTGGTATTTTGTTCTGAAGGGAGTGCCTAACTTGATAAACTCAGTTTTGGGTACATTTTCAGCTTTATGGTTAGAAATACTAGGAATAGGCAATATTGAAAACAAAAAATAGGTTCAGTTGTACTGAGTGAACTGATCTCAAATGAAATGAATCTAAAAGCATATTATAAATCAAGGAATTTATTTACAACTAGAGTTTGGCATGTTACGAAGGCTTTTTGTGGTTTATTTTTCTTTTTCTTCCTGATGTTAAAGCATTGTTCTGAGAGGCAAGGGAGAACAATGAAACATCAAAAGTGGGAAACACATAATATGTTGTTTAAATCAAGTATGATTAATAGCTTCTTGCAAACCTTTAAATGCAATACTGTTCTGCAAAAAAAAGAGGGATGCGTTTGTCTATCCCATATTCCTTTTAAGTGTGAAAGTTAAAACCAGAATAACTATACTTTAATTTTTACTCCTTTACTCCTTTGTTTCTATCCCAGTTCACATCAGAACATAACAATATGCATAGCACGATATATATCTATCTATATCTATCTATATATCAAATATATATTTTACTGATAAAGAAATAAAGGGAGACTAGTATAGATCTATTTCAAGCTTTTTAGCTTTCATCAGCTAGCCATACCCTTACTTGGATTCGAACTTGGGCTTCCTGCAAGTTAGGCAGTTGAATTAACCTTCTGAGCCACAAGTTCTCCTCCCTTCATCAGCTTGAGCTGGGGAAAGATTACGTGTTTTTCTATCGAGACACCTGGTCTACCCCAACATGTGGGAGGGAGCATTTTACTCCCTCCCACATATATATATATATACTGTGTTTCCCCCAAAATAAGACCCTGTCTTATATTTTTTTGAACCCTGAAATAAGCGCTTGGCCTTATTGCCAGGTGCTCAAAAGCCCAATTGGGCTTATTATCAGGGGTCTTATTTTGGGGGAAACAGGATATATATGTGTGTGTGTGTGTGTGTGTGTGTGTGTGTGTGTGTGTACACACACACACACATATACATACATACACACACACACACACACATACACAGAGATATACATATACATACGTACATACATACATACATACATATTTTTCCTTCACCCTTTTGACTTAGATGTTTCTGACATTTTTTCACTGTATATACGTTTTTTTAAATTGACTTTTCCTATCATTGTAAGATCACCAAATGAAGTTCTTATAATATTCAATTTTAATTATATTTCTCAAACAATTTAGCCAAATTTTTGAAAATCTCATGTTCATTTTTTTTCCTAAACATTTTTATGGTGGGTTCCACTACTAAGTTATTTAGATCCTTATAAAGTTTACAGATTTAAAAGAATGGTTTATGCCCGTGATGGCAAACCTATGGCACGCGTGCCACAGGTGGCACAGGGAGCCATATCTGTGGGCACGCAAGTGTTGCCCTAACTCAGCTGCAGCATGCATGTGTGTGCAGGCCAACTGATTTTGGGGCCTTCTGGGCCCACCAGAGGGGCCTCCGGAGGGCCTCCGGGGGGACTGGGGAAGGCTGTTTTCACCCTCCCCAGTATCCAAGAAAGCCTCTGGAGCCTGGGGAGGGTGAAAAACAGGCCTACTGGGCCCATCCATTTTGCCATTGTGTGCCAAAAGCAGCAGAAGTGCGGGTGGGGTCACGTTCACATGCATGGGGGGGCATTGAATTATGGGTGTGGGCACATGCATGCGTGACACCCCCCCGTGCTCCCCCCGCTTTTGGCACGTAATGGCAAAAAGGTTAGCCGTCACTGGTTTATGCCATGTACTGTAAGTAATTGGCAGGGGATTCAGGAAAGACCAAAAAGAAATACTTTTTCACACAGTATTAACGTCAGAAATCAATGCCATAAGTAATTGCCTTGGCAAAAGATGATATAAAATTGGATTAATAATTTATTGGTGTATTAATGTTTACTCATGGTGGCTTTATGCAACAGGCCAAACAGAGGGTATTGTGGGGAGTCCTTGGTGCTCTCTGAACTTGTTTTATTTAGCTTGCAGATGTTTCATTACCCAACTAGGTGATATCATCAGTTATCAACATACAAGTGCTGTCATTATCCTCATCATTATGATTATTTATTATTATTTTATTTATTTGTTTAAATTTCTATACCGCCCTTCTCCAATATAGGACTCAGGGCGGTGAACAGCCAAAGTAAAAACAAGACATACATACAAAACATACAAAATCTAAAAACTGATTAAAATAATTAAATATTTTGGCCGTAATTAAAACAATTCCAATTTAAAATCAGTTTAAAATTTGACTCAAGCCAGCCCAGCTAGTTGAAATAAATGGGTTTTCAGGGCCCGACGAAAAATCTGGAGGTCTGTTATTGTACGTAACTCTGGGGGGAGGTTGTTCCAGAGGGTGGGCGCCACCACAGAGAAGGCTCTCCTTAGAGCATGGTGTTACTTAGTCAGGCAATGAGATATCTGCAAGCAAACAACCAAGCTCAGAGAGCACTAAGGACTCCATAGTTCAACCCTGAGCTACAGATATTCTCTTCTAGTAGCGGTATCTTCTCTATCCTGGTTTCTTGTCATAATTTCCAGCCAATGAATAGGGTAGGAACTTCGAGAAGCTGAAGTATAATGCATTATGAGAGAATCAGGTTGGCAAAGCAGCAACCTATCAGGTTGGTCATTATCATGTGACTCTTTCTGTTACAGATTGATAGCTTCTTATCTTGGCTGGTCAGAAAACAGAATTGTGTGACAATATTTTATTATACAAATTAATTCCTCCTTGAAAGTTTGACAAGTGTTGATACCAAGACTGGCTGTGCTATTTTTCTTGTTAACATGACACATATGCATGAACAGACAGCCCGGTATTCTCTGTCACTGAAAAGGTCACATCTATTTACCCCTAATGAATAGGTGAAAAGTTTCTTATAAAATAAAACAGAGTTCAGCATCATGGAAATATATCAGTTGTTGTATTAAGAAAGGACCCTGATTATTGCTACATACTACCTAATAGTAAAGAATGAAGGAAATGTTTTAAAATGTTGGATTGAAGGATGTAATGAATTATTTTACTGCTGAAGCAAATATAACCTGAACAATGGACATTTTATAAGTGTTGTAGTTTTTTTTCTCTTTTGTTCTTCTTTGCCTATGATGAAATGGGTTGTTTTTTTCTCCTTGTGATAGGGGGTGGTTCTGGGGTTTTATTGGTTACAAGAATAATGTAACCTTTGATTCCTTGACCTACTTTTGAATCATTAATTATCTTTTTATTTCAATCTCACTGAAATTAAAAAAAAGTCTACAAATCCCTCTTTTTCAGAATAGTTTGTCCTCTCTTAATTTATGATTTGGTATAAAACCGTCCACATTTTAGATAAAACACTTGCAAATCTCTTTTACTTATAACCAAAGAATAAGTCTTAATCAATAGGTCTATTCTATACATTTGCAACCATATTGTGATGATGATATTCTGTGTAATAGCAAGGAAGAAGCTGTTAGGAAGGCATTGTGTAACTAGGTCAGATGCACAGGCTGTATTTCCTCCAGATAATTTAAAGGAGGGGGGGGAATGGTTCCATTAACATT